ACTTTGTGTCACAGTTCTATTATAGGGTGGAAATGTCAGAGGCGAGAGAGTGTGTAGTTGTTACCAACTTGTCTACAAGTATATTACCAAGGGTTCCAAAACTGACTGTGTAGTATGTGGTTATCAATTGGTGTTACATGTAAGTAGAGAAGTTTTGATACTGATTATAATTTTGGCCAGATTAAATAGGCAAGCAGCTTTTATTGTACTGAAATTCTAAATCTAAACGAGTATTGAAAACTGGTACTGATGTAAATTCGTGCTTGTAAATAACTTCTTGACAGTGGCATTTTGTATTGTGTTTTATTTAACTTACTATTAACAGGAGTGTGATCATGAGTGCATTTTGATTGTGTAAGTGTGAGTTTTTTCTTTTTTTGTGTGCGTTTGTGCGTGTTTGTCTTTCTATATATTGTGTTTACACTCCCACCCACTGTCAAATAGAATACAGTACACGCTCAGACCCTGACGATTTCCGACTAGAGGAAGTATTCTGTATTTTGACAAACTGTGAACCAAAATCGCGGATATGTTTCCAAAGAACTATGGATTCGTGTTGTAATAATGCACACATCCGGAAACTGAGTGTAGGCGTCATGGAATTCATAACAAGCATATAAAGCAGCAATGGTCTCACGTGCGTGGATTATTCTGGTGTTTGTGTTCCTGGATGTATAACACCTAATCATTCCAGGCATAACATGGCGTATCCTGGATTATCAATATGAACAAGACGCACACAAAATAGAGTACTGATTTTTACATCATGTGTAATGTAACAGCGAAAGAAATCAATAATGAATACTACACAATGTGTAAGGGACACCTGAAGACAATACATTACAACAGATAAATTCTAATAAATCCTAGAAGGTCTCGTACGTACATGAAAGAAAGAAATATTTCAGTGCTGTCTAGATGTAACGTATGCCATAAAGCGATCAACATATTAGGATAAATACATATCTCCAATAGGAGCACTTTATATCAGTGACATGTGCATACTTCAAACAGAGAACATATGCGGTTATCTTGCCTCACACATAAATGTCGTTTTCTGATTGGCTGAGCGTTCTTCTATTATTTTCAATGTATCCCGCTTAAAAGCGAGTAACATTTTCTATGTACCCCGCTGGGAATGCCGAACTCATTTGGTACTTCATAGTAGTAAGTCTGTATCTCGAATAACATTGAATTACGTATGATGTACGGAAATTACCGATGTTTTGCGAATGCAAATCGATGGAAGGGAGATAACTCTAAATTTGTTTTTCTTGTCGTGTTGTCCTCCGTAATATGATCCCATACCCGTACTTCAACAGTTTAAACTTACCATTGAGGTGTTCGGTAAGATGAATACGTTGTTCACTGGTCCCTCGGGGCCCATGCGTTGATGTACCCTCGATGTTTCTTGATGTACATAAACAAACATCGAGGGTACACCAGCCCATGTCCCCCTCGAGACAAGTGAACAACTTATAATAGTTAACAGACAACGTGTCTGCTTGGGACTTCCACACCCCCTCCAATAACACGTAGATCTGGCAATGTACCACATCCCCAACCATCTTTTCCTTCCACAATTAGTAAACCATCAGAGATTTGATATTACAGACGCCTTCCTTCCTATCAGAAGTCTCGGCCATGTGTGTAGCTTTACCATAAGAATCGGCCGAGAAGGAAAATATTGTTTCTCTCATTCAAAGACAAGTGGAGATATTGGTTGAAGGTGTGCGGAATATATGCTATCCTGAGATCTTATTTATACACTGGGATTTCAGGAGGTGGTAAGGTGGGAGGACCCGGGATGCGAGAATGGACATTGTGGTACTGGCTCATCTTCCTCTACAAACATTAACTGCATCTGAAAAACTCCAGGGATCACAATATTATAGTTTGGGTGTTATTACCAAACCTTACAATTAAAGGCTCACGTAGGATATTCTTCTGTTGTTTTCACGACTTTTGTGTCGATTGTGGCGGGTGAAGCATATTTACCCCAAGTGACTTGCTTTGTGATAGCCGTGTATAAACATACGTCTTATTATTAACTGATTATGGGAATGGTTCTGTTGCTTATATTTCACACTGCACATTGATCTACATTTTACCTATCATTATGTGCACACTCAACAAGTACAGAGTACACATCCTCCAACCCTCATGTGTACACTTCCAAACTTCTCACCCACCAAACCATGTGTACATTGAACCCCTTACAATATACTCACATGCATGTCTGTCTTGTGAATACTATTTTGACTGTATGTATTGATATATGGCTGAACATAGTAGACATTGTTATCTACAATTCTAACTGGCATGTGTTTGGTTGGGGTGACCGCTGTACTCTTGATTGCCACCGCACGTTAACAGGGTCGGCCAACTTGATAGGTCCACTGTGATATTTCCTGAAGCTAACGCCAAAACAGTTTCTGCTGGAAATCGAAACCTCTTTCCCATTTCCACTTGCGATTCATACGGACATCACAGCCTGTTATCGTCTCAGTTTATGTGTTGTTTATTCGATCGGACGATGGAGAACTACCCACTGGAGACAGACAAAATTCCTTTTGTGAAGAATTCGTTTCAGCTAAGCGTTTGTCCCTGTCGAGACACATAAATTCCTGGCAGGTTGTACACAAAACCCTTCGAGAATCGATGACATTAATCCATGGATCAGCTAATTAAGTAAAGGTTCCTCTCAACGTGTATGTTCTCCGGACTCCTTATGTTCCACCCTGGGACAATACACTCTGCACAACGTGCATGTCAGGTCTAATGGCAGCAATCGTCACATCCACTATACAAATGAAGTGATTGTCTTGGGTCCGCGTGAACTACACATAGTGCCAGAGAAGGGTTTTATCTGTGTCCATAGCTGCTGGGTAAACAAATGAATTGTGTTTGCATTTAAATGTCATGGGTACCAAGATGGAAATCTGTGGTATAGCTGGTAGCAAACATTGGGCTTTTGGTAATAATGATGACTTATGAAATAGGTTGTGTGGCTTTTAGCTCCACCATAACGTGTTAATGTACAGTGTGTGTGTGTGTGTGTGAGCGAGAGGGAGAGAGAGAGAGAGAGAGAGAGAGAGAGAGAGAGAGAGAGAGAGAGAGAGAGAGAGAGAGAGAGAGAGAGAGAGAGAGAGAGAGAGAGAGAGAGAGAGAGAGAGAGAGAGAGAGAGAGAGAGAGAGAGAGAGAGAGAGAGAGAGAGAGAGAGAGAGAGTAATGCTATATTACTTTATGTGTGGAATATGTACATAAGAGGAATGTTGGCAGTTGCGTTGCATCATATTTCAAAATGTAACTATGTCACATTTATGTCACAGAGTTGAGAAGCATTGCTACGTGTTTGAATATCGGAACTGTCGGTTGCGCGAGAGTACTGTGTGTCTCACCATCTCTTGTAGATTGTATCGCATTATATGTACAGCCTTTGTTCTGACATATTTTAAAACTTGATGCTAACACTTGTACATCTCTTTTATCATCAAAGGAGTGAAAGAAAATGCATTTTCCGCTACTGGTCAGAAGGAGACCCGACAAACGTGGACTCATTGTTGCTTCATTGCTTTTTCCGTTTTGATTTAGGCAGGGCGTACGTTAATAGACAAGCTTCACTTAAACTTTAATTAGCTATTTTATATTGTGTCTGGTCAAGCGTAATCCATAGAAAGTTGGACTATTGCAGAAACGTTCTTTGACATTTCGATATTTTTCTGTCCTTCACTCATTTAAAGACTGTGGCGATGATTAAATATTGACAGGAGTCTCTTTTATCTATTTCTTGCCGAGGATCAGTATTCTATCTTTAAACTTCCTCTTGTAACCTTTCCCTTTTCATTTATTTCAGCTTGTCAGTATAGGAAATGACTTTTCCTAAAACAGTATGTTTGTTGTTCTTATAATATGTCTCGACACCAGAACATCGATACTGCCGAAGACAGGCTAAAGATGGATGGTTGGGTGGTTCAGTGGATTGGTGGATAGGGTCAGTAGTCGAATGTATGGGTGGTTTGTCAGATGATGTTGAATAGGGTCCGATGGGTAAGACAAGGATACACGGATGTTGGCTATATTGATCCTGTATTGATCCTGAAGAATAGATACATGCCAGGAGTTTGATAGATCGACTCGTAGTCGATAGATCGATGTTGTACGATTTGGATTGATTGTGAGCAGTTAGACTTATTGGACTGTCAATTAGATGGGTGGATAACTGGGTGATAGAAGGTACTGACTTACAAATGGGCATTACAAAGGGCTATAGAGAACAAGACAGGGATAAGGATTGGATAAGATATATGAGATTGTATAGGGGAGGGTAGAGACGAGTGTAAAAAGAAACACAGAGGGTAATGCTGTAAGGATAGTTAAATATAGAGAGGGATATTTGTTTGGATTGGGAGATTTGGACTGTTTAGATGGGTTCACATTCAGGGATGGTGTAATGTTTCCAAGATCGAAGAACGACAGGAGAGGTCAGATTCCAGTCAATTTGTATTTCGCATTTGCACATATCATCGCATTCGCAGTCCAAAATTCAATCCCGTCACGGGCAAACAGTCTCGCAATCATAACGACACAGACTTCAATGTTCGTGCTGGCTCTGTTAGTGCTACTGACTATAAAGTACGTGCAACATTATGATGTATCAGAGTACACCATGACTTGGAAATTCGCAAACCACATCGCACTCATATTTTCCGCTCGCTTCAAACATCCGTACACAAGGGAGCTAACTCCCATGTATCAAACTGTCAACCGCTAAGAAACTTGCCGTTACACTCCCCACCAAATTAGAATCTCTAATTTTACATGAAAACCATTACAACTAATACAATAACCTGAGATACAATACCTGCATAATGTAATATCTTTGAAATTCAGACAAAGATAAATTCAAAATTCAATTCAATGGCAAATAAGGAAATGTCAATATGGTTCACTGAGTGTTCATTCATTGACAAGTCACAGTTCTAGGAAATGTTTTCGTTCAAACATCACAGTTCTTGGGAACTTCAAGTTCGGATTCAAGCAAAAGAATCAATTTGTGAATTGGCCGCTCTAGATATGTCACAGTGTTCATGCGTTTTCCGTCATGAGACAGTGATGGGTCACCGATTGCTATCTTAACCTTGCGCACAAGGTTATCCTTACTCTTATAAACCTCATAGATCCTGCAGAGTCTCCAGAGGTTCCGGGGAAGATTATCATCCTTCAGAAGAACAATGTCGCCGACTTGCGCCACTCTTCTAGGGCGCTTCCACTTCTGTCGTACTTGCAATGTCTGAATGTATTCTCTCTTCCAGCGCTGCCAAAATTCATTGGACAGGTGTTGAACGCGTCTCCACATCTTTCTGGAATAGGTGTCTGCCCTCTGGAAGTTGCCAGGTGGAGGTAGTATTTACTTTGATTTTGTCGTAAGAAGATGGTTTGGAGTGAGTGGCTCCAATGATGTAGGATCATTCAAATTGTCAACTGTCAGAGGCCTGCTGTTCACAATGGCCATTACTTCGCACATGAGGGTCCGTAAACCCTCATCATCAAGTTGTTCACTAGCTTGGTTCATGAGAGATGAAATTACTGATCTGACTGTTCTAATCTGCCTCTTCCATACTCCTCCCATATGGCTGGCAGAAGGTACATTCATCACAAAGGAGAAATAGTCACAATTCTGTTGATGGAGAAAGTCACTTACTCGTTTAGAGTCAATTCCGTGTAACTCGTTCTGTGCTCCTACGAAATTTGTACCCTGGTCTGATCTGAGTTGCCGTATCGGGCCACGCACCGTGATGAAACGTCTCAGCGCATTTATGAAAGAATCTGTGGACATAGAGTTAGTAGTTTCGATGTGAATAGCACGACAACCCAAACAGGTGAAGAGAGCCCCATACCTCTTTACCCCCTTGCGGCCTTCCTTCACAAGAAAAGGTCCAAACATATCAACCCCACAATAGGTAAACGGTGGAGCTTCCTGCATCCTATCCTCGGGTAAGTCTGCCATTTTCTGGTCAAGTGTCGAGCTCCTCAGTTTTCTACACATACCGCACTTAGAGATAAGGTGAGACACATCTGAAGAACAGCCAATGATCCACAGTCCATTGGATCGTATTTCATTCACTGTCATTCCCCTTCCTTGGTGCCCAAGCTTCTCGTGGAAGTGTCTGACAATCATGTCGGTCACATGGTGCTTTCTCGGGAGAATGACTGGATGTTTAAAGCTGAAGGACAAGTTAGAGTTTTTGATCCGTCCACCAACACGCAGTACACCATCGCTGTCAATGTAGGGATCCAATCTACTGAGATTTGTGGAAGCTTTCAGGAACTTCTTTTGGTCCTTGAGCAACTTTCTGTCATCACGCATAACAGGCCTTTCCTGATCATCAAGCTCTTTCTTCGGTTTCAATATGGTGAATTCATTCTCAAATGATTCACGTTGTACTAGCTTTATGATTTTAAGCTCTGCTCTCTGAAGATCACTGACATCAATATCATCCAGTAAGCTTCTATTCACGCCAACACCCTTGTTGCACTGGGACAGTTTATTTAACAACTTTGCCTTGAGCTTGAGACAGATAGCAATGGCTTTCTTTGCCCTGTTCCACTTAGAGATGTGCTCTATGCGTCCAAGGTCGAATGTCTCTGCTGTCTTGGTTACAACATGTACCTTAACCTTTCGTATTTCTGGATCGTCTGCTGAGATTTGTGTTTCGTCATTACAGTCATTTGAAGGAAGGCTTTCCTTCCAAAGAAATTCTGGTCCTGTCAACCACATGGACTCAGACAAGTCTGAGACATTTATTCCACGTGATGCCACGTCTGCAGGATTGTTCGAACTCTGCACATGTCTCCACTGAGATGGCTGTGTGTGTTCTCTTATGTACTGCACACGATTGGCTACGAATATGTGAAACCGTTTTGAGTCATTGGCTATGTAGCCCAGTACGATTTTACTGTCTGTCCAAAAGTACTCTGTGATATTCTCGTATTGCAGTTCTCTTTGCAGAAACTCACTCACTCTCACGGATACCACGGCTGCTGTTAACTCAAGCCGAGGAATTGTCACAGATTTTAATGGAGCTATTCTAGCCTTTCCCATCACAAATGCACAGTGCACATGGTTTGCTTCGTCAATGAAGCTCAAGTATGAAGATTGCCCATAGCCAGAGTTGCTTGCATCTGCAAAATGGTGCAGTTCAACACATTTCACATTTGTAAAGTCAGGAGGTTTGAAGCATCTTGAAACCTGTAGGTCATCTAGTTGCCACAACTGACATCTCCATTTCTCCCACTTCGCTCGAATGTCATCGGGTAGAGGTTCGTCCCAGTCGAGTTGATCCTTGCAAGTTTCCTGGAGAATCTGTTTCCCTAACAGAAGCACCGGGGCAATAAATCCAAGAGGGTCATATATAGAGTTTATTGTAGACAGTATGCCTCTTCGCACAAAGGGTTGGTCCTTTAAATGGATTCTGAAGCCAAATGTGTCTGATACAATACACCAGTTGACTCCAAGAGTTCTTTCTACAGGTAGGGAATCGCACATTATGTCAACATCGCTGATCCCTTTCGCACAGTCCTCGGGTGGAATCGACATGAGAACTTCTTTCGAATTTGACGCAAACTTATGCAGATTCAGAGCTCCTTCCTCACACAGATCTTTGCTTTTCTTTATGAGGTTTACTGCTTCGTCAACAGTCGCCACTGATGTCAGCCCATCGTCGACATAGAAACTGTTTCGCACAAAGTCCACTGCTATTGCTCCATGACAATGTTCGTAGTCTGTAGCCAATTGTCTGAAGGCAAAGTTAGCACAACCAGGCGATGAGGTCGCGCCAAAGAGATGAACAGTCATTCTGTAATCACTTGGCTCGCAATCAGTATTATCATCATCCCACCAGAGTAATTGTACGTACTTCCTGTGCTCCTCATTCACATGGAACTGATGAAACATCCCTTCCACATCACATTGGATTGCAATGTGTTCTTTCCTAAACAGCACTCCCGTCATGGTATTAGTGAGATCGGGTCCCTTTAGGAGATGATCATTTAGTGAAGCACCTTTGGATTGCGCACTACAGTCGAAGACGACCCGAATCTTTCCAGGTTTCATGCTATTGTACACTCTGTGATGTGGAATGTACCAACCGTCATTCGCATCATAAATAGGGATCTTCTCCATGTGACCCTTATCAATCATGTTTCTCATGAATCCACAATAGTCACTTTCATATCTGGGATTCTTCACAAAGCGTCGCTTCAGCTGCATCAATCGTTTCATGGCGGCTGGTCGGTTGTTTGATAAATTCGGTTCCTTTTCCTTTGAAAGGCAGGGGCATTTCATAGTGTTTATCTGTTCGTTGATGTATTCCTGTATTCAAGATCTTCAGGAATTTGCTATCATCGAATGACAGCTCAATGTTGGGAGACTTTGAATCATTGAAGTCAAGTTCCATCATTGATACGTCTTTAGGGGTTATGACTTCTTGTACAGAGCTCTTCATGGAGAGATATACTTCTCGAACATGGATTCCACCCGCAGAGGTTCGCTGAAGTTCTTGTGGAATTTCATAGGTCATAATTCGATGACTGAAACCTGTCGCATCGCAGTTCTGGATCTCCTCCTGATCAATGATTCCCACTACACCCCATCCAAGGTCTGTCAACTGGCCGTATGGCGTGTTTCCCTTTGCAGAGGAGATAACCTGACGTGGTGTCAGTGCTTGCGGACAGTTGTATCCTATCAAGAGACCAACTTCGACATCACACAAAGGGATTAATTTACTTGCTAGTAGTGACAGATGTGGCCAATCTTTAACTTTAGCTGGTGTTGGGATATGATCCCTGTTTGCAGGCATTATGTCCCTTGAATAGCTTACAGGAAGCGAAATTTTAGACGAACGGTTAAATCCGCGCACCTGCAAACCATTTATCTTATTGCTTTGGATAAGTTCATCCTCAGCTGACATGGTGGACAGTTTCAGTTGAACAGTAGGGCCGGTCAGATTCAGAGCGTCGCTGGTCTGTTTAAGCACAAATGAGGTATCAGACTGGGTATCGAGAAGAGCATAGACAAGTCTCTCTATCTCTGGATTGTCATGGTGGGAAAGCCACACCGGTACTATCATTGAGCACTTATCACTGGTTCCGTTTTGACCACTTGCATGAACAATAGCTGGTTTGTCATTCGAATTGGTTCTTCCATTTGAAGCAACATCAGTTTCTCTAGGAGTAGAATTCCTTGGGACATAGTCTCCATGCAAAGATGTAGGATGGCAACGAGCACAAATCCTACATTTGCTCCTCTTCGGACAATCTCGTGATCTGTGCCCAACTTTCAAGCATCCAAAGCACATGCCTCTTTCTAGCGCAAAGTCCTTTCGCTCTGTGAGTGTAATTTCAGTGTAGTTCTTACAGTTTTCTATATCATGCTCCTTTGAGCAAAATACGCACTCCATAAGCATAGTCGCAGCTCCTGTGGAGAAGTTTGAACGTTTGAACTGGAACCTATTTCCATCTGGTTCCTCAAAGTTTGGTTTCCTTTGTGTTCTTGGCTTGGCTGACGTCACCGGATCACATGCGATATCGGCCTCATCTTCGAGAAACTTCACAAACTCATGGAAGGGTGGGAAAGCTGACTTGGTTCTGCGCCAATGTGATACAATTCTTCCCCAACGATAAACGATCCAATCAGGTAGTTTGTCCAGGATTTTCCTGTTCTCACGTTCATCGTTCCATACACTCAAACTGTTAATGCTATCCATAGCAACTACACACTGTGAAAGAAAATCTGTTAACTTCTGTAGAGCAAGGCCATCTCTACCGTCAACCTTTGGCCAAGCTTCGAGTTTGTTACGAAAGGCATTCGCAACAACAAACGGATTTCCAAATCTCTTGTCTAATAATTCCTTTGCTTTCTCAAAGGCAATGTCAGTATTCAATAGAATGAAACCTTCCACGCAGTCTTTAGCAGCTCCGGTAAGATACCTCTTTAGGTAATAAATACGTTCACTTAGAGGGATACATCTTCTCTCAATTAAAGTCTCAAATGCTGCCTTCCAAGCAGGGTATGTTAAGGGGTCTCCACCAAACACACCTGGTTCAGGGGTAGGTAGTCGTGAAAGGTTGATCTGGTCCGCAAATATCCTTGTAATGTTCGCAAGTTCAGCGGGAGATTCTGTAACAGTTTGAGATGGCACAAATTCTGGGGCTGAAGCGTCAAGCCTTGTTGAGGCCTTTGGTCCATTTCCTGAATTCATTTTCTTCCTATCTGCCACAGGAATGATGGGTGTTTCCATCAGTGTCTGAAGTGGTAATAATGGGTTATTATTCACATAATCTTGTACATAATCATGAGCATTCTGTGTCTCTGGCACAATCTCTTGATCCACAAATATGTCCTTCCCATATAACAATGTTTTGTTCACTTCACCTGTCTGTGATAAGATGCTAAGTCTGGCCTCAGCCATATCTAACTCTTTCTGTACTTCAAGTTTCTCAAGTTCAAGTTTCTTCTTTGTTTCAACCTCAACATACTTCATTTTCACCTTTAAAGCTGCCACTTCAGCCGCTATTTGATCTCTACTTGAAGTTCCTCCACAACATCTTTGACTTGATTTAGCATGCAAGCTTGAAATTACAGATATTCTGTCAGACATTTTGAATGTCATTCACAAATTTCACAAGGAATAAATTCAATAGACACCGTTTTCTGCACGAATATTACACAAGTGTCAAATGGTCTTTGCACCAGTTCTTTCAATGTCACAAGGTACGTATCACACATGAAATAATCTCACAGGGAATTATTTTACACGACACCGGTTTGATGTTATCACAACAAAGTCATGGCACGTGAAGAGTCAAATCTCATAGGGAACAAATTGGCCTGGGATCGGTTTCAACAGTCGGCAATGTCTCTGAAGCCACATGTTCCATACAGACAAGGGAACAATTTCTTATAACACCGGTTATCGTAGCGCTGAATGTAGTGAATTCCTTCGAAATGTCACCAACGTACCTTCTTGTCCTTCGAATTGACACAGTATCCTCTGATAATGTTGCACTGTAATGTTTCCAAGATCGAAGAACGACAGGAGAGGTCAGATTCCAGTCAATTTGTATTTCGCATTTGCACATATCATCGCATTCGCAGTCCAAAATTCAATCCCGTCACGGGCAAACAGTCTCGCAATCATAACGACACAGACTTCAATGTTCGTGCTGGCTCTGTTAGTGCTACTGACTATAAAGTACGTGCAACATTATGATGTATCAGAGTACACCATGACTTGGAAATTCGCAAACCACATCGCACTCATATTTTCCGCTCGCTTCAAGCATCCGTACACAAGGGAGCTAACTCCCATGTATCAAACTGTCAACCGCTAAGAAACTTGCCGTTACAGATGGTTTTGATCACGTTTAACAAGGATAAATGAATGGAAATGGTGGAGTGATAAACTGATCAATGGGATAGAGTCATTACAGGTGAAAATGTCAGGGTGTGTTTGGGAACGGACAAGTGGGGAGGGAAAGGATTGACGGACTGGTATTCATATATAGGTTTGATTGTTGTATGAATTGATACATTTTATATGGCGTAAAGAGGTACATGAAGGCAGGTAAGTCGTTAATCAGAGCAAACTGTAATCAAACTGGACTATTCCCTACACATTTCTCGCTGCACTTTGTATAAAGTCGTCAATGGGATATATAGTGCACCCAATTACTAATACGGTAAACATACAAGCTCCAGATTGATACCTGTCTTCCTTGAATGCCTCTAGCAATCTTGATAACTTGTGTGTCTTGGCCAAGTTATCTCTTTGTTCAGTACAGGCAGAGAAGCGTTTTCTTTTTTTGTCCAACCTGATGTTAACCTTTAACCTTATAGAAATATCATCAGAGCCTATCGTTCGTAATCACACAGTGTCTTTGCGAGTCTATGTGCATGCTGCTTCCCTGGATCAAACCGCCAAGATCTACCGACCGACAGAAAGGTTGTAGCCTGGTCCATTTCGATTTGCAACTCTGGTTCAGACTTCGAGAGAAGTTCAACTCATATCATGTCTTTGGAAGGCGGTGAGATATTTCATGATTGATTCAATTAGAAAAGTGACGAGGAGAGTAATATGTGAGTCAGTGAATTGCGATTTACGCCGTTTTAGACACTATTTCAATCAAACCACCGTGTAGTAGCGTAAGTACTAGATGTGTACAACTTCCGTGAGCAGGGTTCTGGAGTTCAATCTGTTCAGGAGTTTGTGAGAATAGCATTTAGGAAAGACAAGACATAGGTCATGAATTATATTGTTAACGCATAAATATGTATTTTATTGTAAAATAAAATAAACATGACGGGACCATACTTTCGATTCCATTCGATGCAGGGGTGGTGTGGTGGCCTAACTGTTAAAGTTACTTCCTTCTCTTTGAAGACAGACCGCCTCCGCGGTGTAGTGGTTAGAGCGTCCGCCCGGAAAGCGGAAGTTCGCGGGTTCGATCCCCGACCGCGTCATACCAAAAGACGTTAAAATATGGTACTTGTTGGTCCCTGCCTGGCGCTCGGCATTCATGGGTACAACAAGGACTGGTCGGCTCGGAGTCAGTATAATGTGTCTGACTAGGGTATCCATGCTTCACTGCGGCATGGTATCTCAGTGGGCTAGCACAATAAAACCAGCTTAAGTCTGGGCTAGTACAAGCAGCCGCACATACACATACACACGCATGCACGTCGTCATATGAGCGAAATATTCTCCGGCGCGACATTAAACCCAATTTCACCTCACCTCACCTTTGAAGACATGGGTTTCATTCCCCATGTAGGTACAAAGTGAGACGCGTATTTCTGATGTGATACTTGAGATAATTTGCACAAAGTAATGCCCCACACACTGTCTGTAGATACGTGTTAAAGATCATATGTACTCTAGGGGGGTTAAAATGTATAAATCATTGAATGACATCGTTATAAATCAAACCCCGCCATTAAAACTACTCATTTCGACCCTTAAGTAACTTAAATCGACCTTTTTGACAACACTTCACAATTCTCTCCCGCGAACGAAATTTCAACCAATCAGTCTCCGTGACGTAATGGGAGGTATGGATATGAGGGGCACTGTATAATTCATGTACATTTCCGGGGGTAAATTATCTATGTCTAAACCTGAAATCGTTACCACTGTTGTGAAA